AAAGTAGAGATAGTGTCTGTCTCCCGAATCCATGCGCCCTTAACAGAAAAACAGCCTCGCAGCATAAAGTTTGCACCTCTGTGCTTGACTGTTGCGATGGTGTTCTTTGGGTCATACTACAAAGATGTCCTTGGACAGCTCTCTGGTCTTCCCGGAGTTGGTGGACAGGTTGCAATGGAAGAAACTGATAATTGATTCTGTGGACAGGTGTGTTTTATAAACGTAACGAGTTGAGTGATTGACTGTATGTGTGAGTCACATGGAATTCTGTGATTTCACTGTATTTCCATGGTTATCGTTATCAAATGATGACATTCCAGTGAATAAACAGAACATTTTGGCATTTGGTTAGAATAAACAATAGTCCTAAAGTAAGACTTGATCATATTTTGCTCTCCACTTTAGCTTCCACAGCTAATACAGTGGCAGTGGCATGGTCATAACCTGAGCCATCAAGACACTTCAGGATTCCAGTGGGCCAATGATCCACTTGTACCTCAGTTTCTATCATTTGGTTACATCAGAGTAGTTGTTCTTCTACATGTGAGTGCAAGGCCAACATTACTGTGCACCAGTCTGCCACAGTTAGTATGCACCTGCTGATCTGCTGTAAGTCAAAATTAAGGAAATCTGGCTTCAGGATTCAAGCCCGTCTGTGTCTTCAGCATCTGCACTGTCATCATCGTCAATTTCACCGAAGTTTGTGGGTTATTTGCTCTGCTCTCCTGCCTCTATGTTGAAGTTATGAACTTTCAAGCAGGTAATAGAATATTTCAAGCCTTTTTGAAGTTGAGGAGTGTTGGAGAGTACCAGCTAGCTTGAAAACAGAGAAGAGATTAGTTTTGTTTTCAGCAAATATGTGCGACCAATCATTTGTCTTTGTGTTTCTGTGTGAAATCTTTACAAGTGGACCCCAGAGTGTCGCTTTTGCTGTTTTCCAATGGAAATGTGAAGGATGCAAATTAACTCTAAAATGCTTAAATGATTTTTTTGACTGTCTGTCTTTACTCGCGCCCTTTGTGGAGTAAAAAAAACATCTGGTTTGCAGAATAACAACACAGTTTTCCTCAGAGACAGCCTCGAGGCTTAAGCTCTTATGCACGGCTATAGCAAATGTACCATTAAGTGACTGCACGTACCTCATAGAGGATCAAGTGAGGCTGTAGCTTTGTGTCTCAGATCACGCTACCGCATTACCCTGGTAATGGTGCATCTGCTACTGACGCTTCACTGACATCGTTATAAATCTGACGCGTTACGAAAACAGAGCCTCTTGTAATGGACACATGATTAAAGGTGCATGTGGATAGGCCAGACACATTGACAGAAAGACAAATGAGTGAACAGACGATGCACATTTTGAGCTAGTGAAGAGGATAATGAGAGTGTAGAACATTAGCGGACAATTTACAGTCAGGGAGATCGAGCGTGGAGCAAAGCCACATATACTACATTTAAGATCGCCCGCTGCTCTGCCGGCAATCCAGAAGCTTACAGAGTCTGAAGCATCTCTGCCTGCTGCGGCCCCAAATAGCAGCATGAGGTAACAGCTTGAAACTTCATCATGCCGTATATCTGTCATGTGATGTGATGGGTGCTTGTCAACCTGTTATAGCAACAACAGACAAATAAAGTAAAAGCCTCGCACTGATATGCCTTGATATAACTAGATGTTTTTCTTTGTTTGTTTTCACTTCATTTATTGATACAGAGGCTTAAAGGGAGTCTTAAAGACCCAAATGCCTAGTCCCAAATAAAGACTTGGAATTTTTTTCTTCCTTTTGTCCAATATTGTCTGTTATGGTCAGTGATGGGAATAACAGCGTTACAAGCAACGGCGTTACTTTTTTCGGTAACGAGTAATCTAACTAATTACTATTTCTATCGTTACAACGCCGTTACAGTTACTAACAAGAAAATGCGGTGCGGTCCCGTTACTATTTTTCAACAAACAGACTTCAGTTTACCGCATTTTATATCAGTTGCACAGAAGTAGCTGTCTGTGTAAGTAATCTGGGCGCTACAGCTTTAAGCAGCTGCGCGCGCTCCCGCGGGCGGCGATCACTTTTTGGCACAACACCTGGAGCAAAGGGGGTAAAACAATCGCATGAGTGCTGCTGTTTGACTGAGGAAGAACAAAGTAGTCGTGGTGAGCCAATCACACGACCACTTTCAGATGACAAAGCAACAAGGTGACATATACCAGTTT